AAAAAAGTAGCAGCAGTGGTCTCTGTTCACATAGGATCATAGGGCTGGAAGGAACCCCAAAGGATCATCAGGTCCAGCCCCCTGCATGATCAGGAAAAACATCTGGGGTCACAGCACCCCAGCCAGGTGACTCTTGAAGACCTCTAGGGTAGATGATTGCACCATCTCTGTGGGGAGCTTGTTCCACAGTCTAGACACCCTAGCTGTAAAGAAGTTTTTCCTAATGTTCATCCTGAAACTATCTTCCAGGAGTTTGTGGCTATTGTTTCTAGTTTTCCCCCAGGGTGCCCTGGTGAATAGTTGTTCACCAAGCTCCTGATGTATGCTTCTGAAATAAAGGTAAGCTGCAATCGGGTCCCCTCTCAGCCTTCTTTTCTTTAGGCTGAAGAGTCTGAGATCCCTCAGCCTCTCCTCGTGTAGCTTGCCCTGATCATGTGGGTGGCCCTTCTCTGGACCCTCTCAAACTTTAGCACTCCTTGTTGAAGTGCAGCGCCCAGAACTGGATACAGTACTCCAGCTGTGGCCACACCAATGTTGAGTAAAGTGGGAGAATCACTTGCAAACAATTCATTAGCATGGATAAAGGCATTTTATTACAAGCCATGGATTTTAAGCCAGCAAGCAAGGAAAGGAGAAAACAAGTGGTTTTTAGATCATCAGGTCTGTCACTTGGTCAATTTTAAAGACTTCTTACAGAGGAACCCAAGCTGGTACAGTGGCCACACCATTGGTTGTACTGATTTGGATTCTTCTAAATGCTGATGCCAACCCCAGAAGTCAGCCTGAAGTCTCTCTGATCCCCCATCCTAGTGAACTCAGTTTGTGCAGTGCAGTCCAGGGCTATTTCACAATGAGAGAGAATGAACCATGGGGTGGGCTAGGGGCCCTGAGTCCATGTGGAGCAGGGAGGAGGTCTGCCACTACCTCCTCCCATCAACCCTAAAAGGCTTTCAGGCTCTCCCACCCAAATATTTCAGTATACTGTATATAGCTCCTATGGTTGTGGGCTCTTCAGAGCGGTGGTTGAACATTCCCCTCAAATAAACTGGATGGGGGCGAGGAAGCTTGCTCCACTCGCAAGCTGTGCATTTTGAGTGGTGCAGCAGTCGCCTGTCTTCAGACTTTTTGAGTTACTGGCTGACAGTTAAACTAGAGGCAGATTGATCATGACCTTTCAAGCCTCCCAGTTGGATCACGCAAGGTGGCTGTAGCAAATAGTGAAGTACACCATTGGGTATTCCTTGACATTCCAGGAAAGACCCAACTGCACTGGTGAGTTGTCATAGCGTGCCCACCCTCTCCATGAGACAGTCTTCAGAGACCAACATTTATTTACAGTAAGAGGCAAGCAAAGGTTGCTGCACTGTCTTGCACAGCAATAAGCAGGTGCTGCCTCTGCTGTGGAGTTAGATGCATCACGGTGACATTGTCCAAGGTACTAACATCCTGCAGTTATAGACCAGGGGCATTGGAGGGACCCAAAGTAATACATCATACTCAACCCCAGCCCAAAGGAGCAGGACAGACCCCACCAAGCACAGCCCCAGCCCCACCCCCACCCACCTCAAGTGGCCCACTGTGTTTTACAGCTCCCATGAGAGTTAGGAGACCTGGCCTCTACTTGTACCCAATAGCTGTCTGCTTGTGGCTTGCCAAGCATGGCCCCCACTTTCCTGGGTCCTTAGGAAAAGAGAGAATGAAGTTAATATTCTGAGAGTAGTCAGGGTGAATGAGCCTGTCCACTGGATGGGTGGCCTTGCAAGTTGCAACCATTGAGGAGTTCTTCATGCCCTCAGAGCAACAGTGAACTCCTGTTCATCCTTTACTGTCAGGCTGGCACCTGTAAATGACAGTGGTAGCACCTTGGGACCAAATAACAGCCTGAGGATGCAGTCAGAGACTTTCAGAAAATTTCCAGGTAGAGGAAGACTTGCACCTGCACAAAGATGGAGATGCTGGCCTCTTTGCTTCAGGCTAGCTGCTCCTGGATCATGGAGGCCAGGCAATGGAGGGAGGAACAGCAGATCTATCACCACCAGTGAATGGCCTCCATCAGGCACAGGATCAAGGAGTTGCAGTGCACCACTATGCAGTTTGTCAGGTGCTGTGCAGAGGTCAAAGAGTGACACATGGCCATTGCTGAGCATACAAATGAGATACTTGGGGAGTCCATGAGAGGTGATCCATAGACTCCTGCTCAACTCACATCAGACAAACCTGCAGATAGAAGGGATACTTTATGCTCTCTGTGTTGCTCTGCAATTTAACATACAAGTGGGACCATCCAGTTGCCCCTGGGGACACATGCTGCTACTGAGTTTCACCATCCTGCAGGAGTACCTTGAGACAGGAGCAGGAACAAGCACCCTCCATCCGTTGGACAGGCATGCCCCCACACCCTAAACAATTATCCAATAATGGCCACTGCACATGGAGATGTGCTGTGTGGATATGCTGTGGCTGTGCCAGATGCACAGCATGCTTACATTCACAGGGGAGTGGCAGGTTTCTTCTGTGGTGGTTTCATCTGTATGAAAAACAATACCTGTAATAGTATCACCCTTTGTTGATTCAAAAGCAGTTTGAAGAAATCTATCAGATACAGCCAGGAAACTAAAATATAAGCTGGGGTGATGGAAATGATTTGTTATGGGCTGCTTCTAGAAACAGGATAAAATATTCTGTCTGAAAGAGTAAAACACATATATAGGAAACATCTTTGGAGCTTTGGTTTGTTTTCCTTGAAAGGTCTTGTTTTTCCTTAGACTACACTTTTGCAGAAAGAACATCCCGAAAGACGAACATAATTTAGCTCCTTCCCCAAAATTTAAGCTAATGCTTGTGTGTGTGACATTTGGAAGGTCTAGATCTAGAAAGGGAGAGCTAATAAGGAAGTCCATAGAATGTTTCAGTTGGCAAGGAATCTCTTTGACAATCCTCAGTAGTTTATGGTTGTCAAAATAATAAGGTATCAAATTGGGTAGGTCATCCCTAAAAGTTTTTAATGTTGCATTATAAAGGTAGACTGCTGAGTTGTATGAAAAGCTATTGGGACAGTCTCTCAAGTTACTTGATGGATAACTCCAGCAGATGGCTAGATGTGCAGTGTTTGATCTTATTTATAGTTATACCCCTCTGTTGCCCCAGGATTCCTTTTACCAGAGACCCCCAAGGATTGACATGGCCCCTCATCCGATTTGGTATCAAGTGAACTTTATTAGTAACTCTTAGACCTATTACAAGATAATTAGCCTTGTAATATGACTTGGCAAGTGGTTCCTTAGATGTTACAACAGTGACCTTCGGGGGTACCAGCCTCAGATCCTCTGCTGTGTGTGGGATGTTAGTTTCCAGATTCCTTGTTACTCAGAGCAAGAATTCCAAGGCTGCTTCTGTCTCCCCAGGGTGGCAACGCAAACACACACTGTCTCTTTGTTTGTCCACTACTTTTGTAACTTTCTCATCTCAAACTTTCCAATCCTCAAGTTTCTTACCTCATCTTTTTAGATAAAGTACTTTAATCCTATTCCATTTTTGGTTTTCTTTCCTTCTAGGGAAACTACAGTACCTGGTAGCCCACTGTACCAATCACAGCACTCATTTTTTCCCAGTGCCTTAGGCACTCTACAATTTAATTACTTAGTTCCGGGAAGGCCTAAAGTTATAATAAGAGCCTGAGCATAACTCAGTTTGCCCACTCCACTCGTACTACCTGTTGTCAGTGCGTTTAATTCAGGATGTCCCATCTGCTACGACCAAACACTAACGAGTAGTAGTTTTTACCCTAGTCAGGTGGAAAAAAAGTCAGTCCTGCATTCACACTAACAACCACCTCCTCCTCAAAGTCTAACCTAGTGTTACAACTCTTTGTAGCTGAGAAATTAAACAGAGGTCCAAACCTTAGTCCTCTTTTTCTAACCTGTTGTTCAAATACTTTCAGATTCTCTGTTCTTTCTCTCTAAGGGTCATAGACTGTTACTGTGTGTTATTTGATCAACATACAGTTCTAATCAAGAGGTAATACACACAGAATGAGGTAGCATTGAACAGCAGTCTGAGAAAATAGCTTTTTAAAAATTAAATTAGTACAGCTACATATTCTTGTCATTGCATTACTACATAGATGCAACTGAAAAACATCTTGAAGTTAATAATGCAGAAGAAAATGTCTTGCTAGATTTCAGCATGGGGGGAGGATTCTTGTCTTGTCACAAATGGATTGCAACAGAATTAATAAGTTCAGTAAGACATAGTTTAGGAAACAAATTAGCTTTTATTTGCAGGAGCCCTTTTGTGTGTGCTTCCAGCACTATTAGTTAGATATTAATTTCCCCCAATCGCTCCCTTTGTACAGTTTGGGAATTGATGCCTCTTGATCATGTACTGAGGGACACCGTGAACTGGCCTGTCTTTGGGGAATGTTTACTGTGTGTGTTTCTGAGGCTCCCCAGTTATGACAGATTTTAATATTTTGTGAATGATACTTTTATGCTCAGGGCTTAAATACTTAATGATGTTTTAAGTTTTTTGGGTTTTTTTTTTTAGTGGAAGCCATGTATTTCTGTTCCATGATATGTCACCATTGCTAAATTCCCTTCCCTCCCCTCCCCTCCACTGTCTTTCCCCACCTTCCTCAGTTCTAGTGCTTGCTAGTTTTTCTGAACATACTGAGGATTGAGAGGGGGGAAAATACAGGTTTGTTTGTTATGCCCTACGAACCTGTATTTTCCCCCTTCTCAATCCTCACGCTGGAAATAAATGAACTGTGATGAAATCATGCCAGCAGGTGGTGTCTTTATTGAATTGGTCCTATCCTCATTATGTAGGAAACTCCAAAGCCTTTTTTCAGTAAAGAATATATTTTTGAAGCTTATGTTGCATTTTGTATAATATACTTTTTGAGGTTTTTAACGCATTACAGATAGTGAGAACATTCCGTAGTTGCCCATATATCTGTATTTAGGAAGTATGTTAATGAATCTACGATATTTTTATAAGAGTTGTCAAGAAGTCACACCAGTGCCAGAGCTTCTGAGTGATTAGTATATAGCAGGTAAGACCAGTCCTGAGTTTTGAGGAAAAAAAACTACCTTCTTACTCTGTACTAAAAAAGTGAAGGGAGAAATGGTTTTAATAGTGACATGT